TTTTTTTAAAAAAAATGGGATGTTAAGTTTTGTTCTTTATGGAGAGTTGGCATGCATTCAACGAGCAGGAAGTTGGGACAGAGCGAATAAATAAAGAAACTGGCAATTAACATAAAGCAAATATTGAATCGGGGGGGCAAAAATTATAAGCCGTGTATCAAATCCAGACTCCATCAGGAAAATAAATATTCCATGCAAATCCACCTCAACCCAGCCACATTTTTCAGAATGATGTGCAAACTTTTGTGCTTTGACGCACACTGGAATGACTGTCCAGGAGACCCTCAGAGACTCTGAGAAGCTTGTGACACAACTATCATACAGGTAGTCCTCGACTTACAAACATTCGTTTAGTGGCCGTTTAAAGTTACAACGTCCCTGGGGGGGGGGTGAAAACCGATTTACAACAACGGCCGTAGCATCCCCATGTTCACATGATTAAAAATTGAGATATTTTGGCAACTGGTACATACAGTTAGGCCGCGACTTAAATTTATGCCGCTAAGTGAGACAATGATTGAGTTTTGCCCCATTTACGACCTTTCATGCCACAGTTGTTAAGTGAATCACTGCTGTTGCTAAGTTGGTGACCCAGCTGTTAAGCGAATCTGGCTTCCCTGTTGATTTTGCTTGTCAGCAGGTCGCAAAAGGGGATCACGTGACCCCCCCAGGGGAGCACTGCAACCGTCATAAATATGAGTCAGTTGCCAAGCGTCTGACTTTTGATCACCTGGCCATGGGGATGCTGCAAATGTCAACTCGTAAAGTTGCCATGATGAGGAAAGGGGGGGGGGGTGGAACAGCTAGAGTTGGATCTCAGATTACTACAGCAGGCTTCGGAGGGGTGCACCTCATTGGGGAATGTGATTTATGACACAGACTGAAGGGAGGGAAGGAACAGGGGTGAAGTTCAGCCATAATTCAAATAAGGCTTGGATCTGACTGCAATAGGTATTGCCAAAATGGTGCTCCTAATAAATGACTGGTTTTCTTTTGAAACTTGGCTCGAGGCTCATGAATCAATTACGACATCTTTCGGAAACCTGACAGCAATGATCGTAAATAGGAAAAACGGTCATGAGACACTTTTTTGGTGCCATTTTAACTTCGGTTGTAAGTCGAGGAGTACCTCTAATAAAAGCAAAGAACCTCCAATCTCGGGAGCGGAAAGCTCTGTTTTACCTTTGAGGAGACTCTAGCATTTTCCAGCAATACCCTGGTCCACACGGCGGGATGTCGCGCCACAAATTTCCAGTCCTTGCAGACTTCCGCAGCCCTGAGCAAAGTCTTGGTGTCGAGGTACGTGAAGATGCAGAAGAGGGCAGCCCGCATCTTCAGGATCTCTGGGCTGATGACCTCATTGGAACGGGAGGCGCTTCCCCGCTCCGTCCGGCCTGCTTTTCCAGCATCGGACCTGGCTGGGACGTAAAAAAATTATTAATTATATTTAGATGCCGCTCATTTCATTGTCAACTCTGCGCATGTTGTGGCCCGCCAGCGACCAGCAGAGCTGGCAGCAGATTCGGACGGTGAGGAGGTTGGGGAGGAACATGGGCGAGTCCCGGAGTCTGGGGAAGGCTCGGATGAGGGCTCTGTGTCGGAGGCAGAGAGGGGGCCAGGGCCGTCCAACAGTTACCAGCTGCCTT